TTTGACATGCAAGAATTTTATTTGAAAAATGGGGTTGTCCATCAGACCAGCTGCAATGATACCCCACAACAAAATGGAATTGTTGAGAGAAAACATGGTCATTTACTCAATGTTGCACGCTCTTTACGTTTCCAAAGCAAGCTTACCTATTCGTTTTTGGGGAGAATGTGTTTTGACAGCTGCCTATCTTATAAATCGTACTCCCACTCCACTTCTTTTAGGTAAAACTCCATATGAACTCCTTTTTGGTTCTAGTCCATCTTATTCCCACCTTAAGGTTTTTGGTAGTCCCTGTTATGCCACTAACACTAGTGCTTCCAAAACAAAATTTGAGTCAAGAGCATCCAAGTGCTTGTTTCTTGGATACCCTTATGCCACAAAAGGTTACAAATTATTTGACCTGGGAACCAAAAGAATCTTTGTCTCTAGAGATGTACAATTTCATGAGCATATTTTTCCTTTTGCCACAACCACGGAAATTTCAAAATCTGTCGTCCTACCTAATCCATCTTATGACTTCAATAGCAATTTTGATGCTATTCCTCAACAATCTGATCTAATTCTTGACAATGAAGACTCAAATAGTCATGCTCCACCAACTCGGCGCTCCACTCGTGAATCACATCCTCCATCCTACTTAAGTGACTATCATTGTAAAATGGCCACATGTAATCTATCATCTCCAAGATCTTCTTCATCTCCTGTAAGTACCTCTCATCCTTTACATAACTTTTTATCCTATGAGAAATTTTCTTCCTCTCATCATTCATTTTTAGCTGCAATCACCTCTGTCCTAGAGCCCAAAAGTTTCCAACAAGCAATGCGGGATTCTAATTGGAGGCAAGCAATGGCTGAGGAAATTAAAGCACTTGAGGCAAACCACACTTGGACCTTGACACCATTACCCATGAATAAAAAGGCAATTGGGTGCAAATGGGTCTATAAGGTCAAATACAAACCAGACGGCAACATTGAGCGTTACAAAGCTCGATTGGTGGCTAAGGGATATAATCAACAAGAAGGCATTGATTACCAGGAGACTTTCGCACCTGTAGCTAAGCTCACAACCATGCGTTGCTTACTTGCCATTGCTGCAATGCGAAATTGGCATCTTCATCAACTTGATATAAGCAATGCATTCCTCCATGGTGAACTAGATGAGGAGGTCTATATGCAGCTTCCACCTGGGTTCTCACAGACAGAAAATAAAAATATGGTCTGCAAACTCCAAAAATCTCTTTATGGTCTCAAACAAGCATCTCGTTAATGGTTTGCTAAGTTATCCTATGAATTGTTGCAGGCAGGGTATAAGCAATCAAAGGCAGATTACTCTTTATTCACTAAGCAAGTGGGTAATTCACTCACAGTTATTCTTGTCTATGTTGATGACATAATTATTGCAGGAGATTATCTTGAAGCAATCCAGACCATAAAAGATTTTATGCATAGCAGATTCAAACTCAGAGATCTTGGACATCTAAAATATTTCTTGGGCATTGAAGTGGCACGTTCCAAAGATGGGATTTACTTAAGTCAGCGAAAATATGCTTTGGAAATACTTGAAGAATTTGGACTTCTTGGCACACGTCCTTCCCAAACACCTATGGAGCAAAACCTGAAGTTAAGCAATTCAGATGGCCAGCTTCTTTCAGATCCCTCACAATATAGGCGCTTGATTGGGCGACTACTTTATCTTTCAGTCACTCGGCCTGACATCACATATAGTGTTCACATACTAAGTCAATTTCTTGACAAGCCCAGAGACATCCATTTTCGTTCTGCTTTACGAGTATTACGTTACTTAAAAGGCAACCCAGGGCAAGGCATTATTCTTTCTTCTTCAAGCGTTCCTCAATTGCGTGCCTTTTGTGATTCAGATTGGGCGAGTTGTCCAGATTCGCGACGTTCAATTACAGGATATTATGTTTTGCTTGGTGATTCTCCAATCTCCTGGAGGTCAAAGAAACAACCTACGGTCTCTCGTTCTTCCGCAGAAGCTGAATATCGAGCAATGGCTTCAACTTGTTGTGAGATCAGTTGGTTATGTCATTTGCTTAAAGATTTAGGGATTGATCACTCTCAACCAGCACATCTTTATTGTGACAACAAAGCCGCATTACAAATTGCTGCTAATCCCACTTTGCATGAAAGGACAAAACACATAGAAATTGATTGTCATTTAATGCGTGAGAAAATTCAAAAGGGCATTATTCGTACTAATTTTGTTCCTTCACAGCAACAACTAGCTGATGTTTTTACAAAGGCACTTGGAGCAGCACATTTTCATAACATGCTTTCCAAGATGGGTGTTAAAGACTTACACACGCCATCTTGAGGGGGGGATATTGGAGATATTAGATTAAATGAGATTTCTCGGTTCCTTGATTTCCTTGATTTCATTATAATTCCATGATTTTAGATTTCGTGATTGTAGGTCTAGAATTGTATTGACTTTTGATTATTTCCTTTTGTAGCTTTATTTTACTTTTCTCTAATTGTTGTACAGTTGGCTATGTATAGCCTTATATTTCCCCTATACGAATAAGAAGAATTATTCCACCAAAACTTTGTCTTCTTCCTATTTCTCTTTAAAGTTTTTGTGAGAAACATCAGTGATACTAGTAATAAATCGTATATAAATACAAATTTATGGATTATCCTTTCCTACAATAGCTGCTCAACTTGATTTTGGCATTCGGCTAGAATACTATATTTCTTTTGTCTGGCACTTCACTTATAGGATTGTGAAATATGAGTGAACTCCATGTTTATTTGTTTTTTTAATCTTAAAATATGAGTATTGGGCCCGTTCATTTCGCTGATTCGAGTTTGTAATTCGAGTTGAGATGTGGTTTTATTTGAGAATTTTTTACTGTAATAAAAAAGTTAAATGTGACTGTTTCTAAAAAAATTTTACTGTAATAAAATTTAAATTTTAAACTCAAATTGACTGAATGAAACTTTTACCCACTCTGATTATAAGTAGGTAAAAAGTAATTCGAAGACGTTTGAACTACCATTTTTGTACTATGCCAATTAGTCTGGTGCCTTAGAAGCATTAATGTACATAAAAGTTCAAAACCAATTAAAAAAGAAGAGAAATCTATTGGCCACCTCTCTCTGGACCCAGATCTTCTGTCTCCTTTTCCTATGTCCCCCTCTGTCCCCCCAATAAAATTTGAACACCTCATTAAAATTTGCCAAGTCACCTTTAACAGAGTTCACCCACAATTCACTCCGTTACGTTTGTTTTTCTCTTTCCTTTTTACGTTTCTACAGTGGGCCCCACTTACATTTTCAATTTTTTTTTTAAAATTAAATAGGTGAATATCATCATTGATTTGGATACCCCTTTTTTGTCTCATAATTTTTTAATTAACGTGATAAAAATATTTTAATTAATGTATTATAATATTATTAAAATATATGAAAAGAAATGTCAATTAAAAAAAAAATGCAGGAATGGATTCTGTGAATATCTAATCTTATCTAGCCGTTTCTTCATTTTGTTATTATCAATATTTTTTGTCTTCTTCCAGATTGAAAGTGTCGTTTTTCCTCTTTCTCCATTGAAGCTTTTTTTTTTCTTTTTTTTTTTTCGCCCCTGCTGTAACATTGAAGCAACTACTTTCCATTAAGGAAAAAGATCTCTGTGCTCTAGTCTTTTTTTGCTGCTAACTTGTGCTCGCCAGAACTATTTAATAGGAATTATAATGTTGTTTATATGGATAAAGTTTGAAACTTTGAATCTAATTAATGTTTGAGTAGCTGCAACTTACATTGCAATAGTATTTGTTCTCAAATGAATGAAAAAGAGGCAAGCGTAGGTTTTTTATTTTTTTTTTGAAGGAAATATAGCGCATTTTTAGGGAATAAAATGTATGGAGCAACCCAAAAAAAAAAACGAAAAATAAAATATGAAACGTCGCTTTCAAAGGAGCTGAGATAAAATGAAACGGTAATGACTTTGGTTTGGTGAGAGTGAGACAACAAGTACGTGGGGCCCGCTGTAGAAAAATAAAAAAGAGAGAGAAACATTCGTAACGGAGTGAATTGTGGGTGAAATCTGTTAAAGGTGACTTGGCAAATTTTAATGAGGTGTTCAAATTTTATTGCGGGACAGAAAGGAGATTGGAAAAGGAAACAAAGGATCCGGGTCCCTCTCTCACTCACTCAGTACGTAGCAGGCAGCACTGCAAAGGTGAAAATATTTGATCATTTCTCATCGTAATTACCGAGTATGTTCTTTTGTCTAAAAAATTTTTTAAAAAAATAACTTGAGTTTTAATTTTATTTAAATTTATATTTTTTTAAATTTTAATTTTATTTAATTTTATTTAAGTTACAACTTCAACTTAAATTATAACTCAAATTTAACTCAAAAACTACACTCAAGTTACACTCTAAAAGAACAACCCCTGAGACTTTATTCGCATTGTTGATTTAAGTGTTTAATTTAAGTTAAAATATTTTTTTTTTAAAATTTTTAACTGTAATAAAAAAATAGATATAATATATTTTGAGAGTTTTTCACTATAAAATTATAGAATTAAAAACTCAAATTGATAAAATGAACGAGATCTAAAATCATATAAATAATATTACCACGTATAACTTCCAGCTTACCTAGCAAGCAAACATGCTGTTCTTTTGCCGTTTTGAGTTAAGTAACTTGAGTGTAGATTTTGAATTGAGTTTAAGTTATAACTTGAGTTGACGTTGTAACTTGAGTTTGTGTTTAGTTGTGTACATTTGAGTTATGGTTTGAGATAAAAATCTTTTTGAGTTTGTGTTTGAGTGAGTCAAAACTTGAATTTGTATTTAGATAGTATTTTAATAAAAACTCAATGCTGATGAAAAATTTTAACAGGGTATATGGGTGGAGTTTTATTTATTTTTTCGTTGTCAACGTATAGAAAAAAAATCATCTCAATCAGAATTAAAACGAAAAAATTATAGCATTTTTAAGAATAGAAAAAAATACTATTCATTAATTTGAGTTTGAGTTTCTGAACTCAAGTTGAAGGGGAAACTTGAACTCAAATTTTAGTCCCAAACTCGAGTTCAAACTCGAGTTCAAACTTAAAAGAACATGCACTTGAATAAAATTGTAACTCGAGTTGTTTTTTTTTAGTTTTTGACTCAAAAAAAAAAAAACTGCCGAACAGCCCAGCCCCCATGTGTTTTGAGCGAAACTCTGGGAAAAGGGCAAAGGGCTAGCAAGCTGCTAGCTATTCGTGGTCCATAAATGCCTTAAATGGGTATAAAATTAGCCATGTGCATGGAATAGATATATTAGTTGGGATTTCTACGAGCATGAGAAATTCATGTCTCACATGTTCACGTCGAAACAAAATCAGAGGGGACCAGGCGGTCCAAACTTCAAATTAATGAACATCAAAAGTGCCCGGTTTTTTGTCTTGATTTCCACCAATTGAACGAAAAAAGAAGGATAAATTCCTATCGATGGGATAAAAAAAGGATTAACGGACCAAAAAAGGGAACAATTCCCCCAGAAAGGGTAGAACCGTAGAGGCCAAGCTGCGGAAGGAACTCTCAGTCCAAAGAGTATAGATAGAGCCGGAAAATCGGCCCTCTGGAGCCTTTGACTTGAAGTTCAGGTTAGCCTTTAGTGAGAGTACTGAGAATTTGTACAGATTTCAAAAAAATAGAAATTAAATCCAGATCTTTCTGTCGATACATTTCCTTTTGAGGACATAGAATAAGATTGGAATGCTACAAGAGAGTTTTTCACTATAAAATTATAGAATTAAAAACTCAAATTGATAAAATGAACGAGATCTAAAATCATATAAATAATATTACCACGTATAACTTCCAGCTTACCTAGCAAGCAAACATGCTGTTCTTTTGCCGTTTTGAGTTAAGTAACTTGAGTGTAGATTTTGAATTGAGTTTAAGTTATAACTTGAGTTGACGTTGTAACTTGAGTTTGTGTTTAGTTGTGTACATTTGAGTTATGGTTTGAGATAAAAATCTTTTTGAGTTTGTGTTTGAGTGAGTCAAAACTTGAATTTGTATTTAGATAGTATTTTAATAAAAACTCAATGCTGATGAAAAATTTTAACAGGGTATATGGGTGGAGTTTTATTTATTTTTTCGTTGTCAACGTATAGAAAAAAAATCATCTCAATCAGAATTAAAACGAAAAAATTATAGCATTTTTAAGAATAGAAAAAAATACTATTCATTAATTTGAGTTTGAGTTTCTGAACTCAAGTTGAAGGGGAAACTTGAACTCAAATTTTAGTCCCAAACTCGAGTTCAAACTCGAGTTCAAACTTAAAAGAACATGCACTTGAATAAAATTGTAACTCGAGTTGTTTTTTTTTAGTTTTTGACTCAAAAAAAAAAAAACTGCCGAACAGCCCAGCCCCCATGTGTTTTGAGCGAAACTCTGGGAAAAGGGCAAAGGGCTAGCAAGCTGCTAGCTATTCGTGGTCCATAAATGCCTTAAATGGGTATAAAATTAGCCATGTGCATGGAATAGATATATTAGTTGGGATTTCTACGAGCATGAGAAATTCATGTCTCACATGTTCACGTCGAAACAAAATCAGAGGGGACCAGGCGGTCCAAACTTCAAATTAATGAACATCAAAAGTGCCCGGTTTTTTGTCTTGATTTCCACCAATTGAACGAAAAAAGAAGGATAAATTCCTATCGATGGGATAAAAAAAGGATTAACGGACCAAAAAAGGGAACAATTCCCCCAGAAAGGGTAGAACCGTAGAGGCCAAGCTGCGGAAGGAACTCTCAGTCCAAAGAGTATAGATAGAGCCGGAAAATCGGCCCTCTGGAGCCTTTGACTTGAAGTTCAGGTTAGCCTTTAGTGAGAGTACTGAGAATTTGTACAGATTTCAAAAAAATAGAAATTAAATCCAGATCTTTCTGTCGATACATTTCCTTTTGAGGACATAGAATAAGATTGGAATGCTACAAATTAAGAAGATGCGTGACAACCACAAATCGAAAAACGAATATTGCATTTAACGTTCAACATATTTTACATAACATCATTCTCTTTCCATTTAGTCACGGTGTTAGTTTGCGTGGCATTAAAGTTATACAATTTGTACTTTGGTGGTTCTAGACAGTCTCTGGAGAGATAATTTCACACCCGATTTTATCATGATCGTGGAGAGTTTAAATTCTCTATCTCAAAGTTTAAAACGAAAAAATGTTGTTTGTTATACAAACAAACGACACACCAATCGTACTCATCATTCATGGACACAACTTGTTTAAAAACTAAAACGACGAAACAAGTGGTCTTGTTTTTCCTGTCCAACAAGAGAATGACATTTCGTCGGTAAAAAACGACGCAGCACAACAACATTTATGTATGTAAAACGATTATACATGAGTTTCTGCAAAAAAAAAAAAAAAGAAAGTAATATTCTTAGACTCACAACGATATTGTTTCCACCAATGAAACGACATCTAAAATAATTGAACAGCAATAAATCTTAGTATTGATGGAGTGACTAATAAAAATATTTCTCACACTATTATATATTCATAGTTTTCCTGGTAGAAAAGCTCATTTAAGTAAACTTGTTGGATAGATAGATATAAGGGAGGACATGGCCGGGATGCTATGTCAGGATAAACTTGCATTTTACACGTGAATGTGGTAGTTGATATTGCCACTTCGATCGGCTTTCATCTAGAGGGGGCATGATATGTAAGCAAATTGTACTGGCTGTATCTTGAATAATGTGCACACGATCACAATCACAAACATAAGTGGTGTTGAGGTTAGGTAGTGTTTGGTGCACTGTCAATCAATGAATATAGTGTTGTGGTCCCAAAAAGTAACGTTTAGAATTGATCTCATTTTTATTTTTATGTTTTTTGAGAAAAAAATAAAAACGTTTTTAAAATAACGTTTGCCGTAATAAAGATAAAAAACAGAAATGAAAATGATTTTTTTGATTTAGTGTAAAATGAAAGAGAAATGAAAAATGATTTTTAATCATTTTTTGTTTTTTGTTTTTGTTTTTTCCTCTTTCGAGCAGAGAGAGAAAAAGAGAGACATTAATGAGTTTTTTTACACTAAAAATAATCTCTTGATAAAACTACCAAATATATTTTTAAAAATGATTTCTATCTAAAATTAAAAACGTTTTCAGTTTTATTTTCATACAAAAAATAAAATCATTTTAAAATGAATTTCAAACGCGCCCTACAAAACTCCCGAGGATAATTGAACCGGCACCTTTAAGGACATATAATTCAAAAAAAAAAAAAACGATTTTCTTTAACAGCCTAGCCAGATGTACATAGGGAACAAAATAATTCATCCATACCAACTATTAAGACGCATTTTCTTCGTGCTGTTTTTGATGTTTTTTCACTAATATTTTGGACGACGTCTATTTAACAGAGTACTTTTAAGAGGAAAAAAAAAACGTTGTGTAATGTATAAAATCATGGTCTACTATTAAAAACTGGCGTTATGGCTGGGAGATATTAATGGAATGGATTTGACGATAGTTATGCGTAGTGCAGCCTATATAGAAAGGGCAAAAAAACCGTTGTCAAATCAACTTTTTGTTTAGTCTTTTTTGCTCCGAATTATTTTGAAGTCTCACTTTCTTTGGTAAGGCTCTTCGTGTTTTTTCGCCTCTGTTCATTGAGTAGTAGGTTTGTTTAGTACTTAGTAGGGTAGGGATCGATAGGGGTAGATTTGGGATGCGTTTGGTTGGTGAATTCGTGTTATGATTCGAATCATGATTCGTGATTCGTTACAGTATTTTCTCTCACAAAAAACACACGTAAATTGAAAATGATTCTGAATTATGATTCTAAATCCATAAATCAAACGTTCACTTACTTAATCATAACACATATAAGTGGCCACTATACATTACGTACAGTCTAACTGTATAGCCCATATTGGACATAATTTTCCCATGTCTGCATTTGAACTATAACCCAAATCGGACGTTCCATGCCCGCGTTTAAGAGAAAAGGAGACAAATACATTTTATTTTAGAGTGTATGAGATTAGATTTTTATTTCTTACTCTTAATTAATACCCTTTTTTAGTTCAATAATTATATTAGTCAAAAAAAAAAAATTAAAAACAAGAGGTAAAAATCTAAATTATGCACTCTAAAGATAAGGTCAACAAAGCAATATTGGTTCCTCATCCATTGAGTAGATTAAACTGAGATCAGCAGAAAGATCAAATATATATATATATATATATAGAGATATATATATATATATATAGAGAGAGAGAGAGAGAGAGAGAGAGAGAGAGCGCTAATTTATAATATGGCGCTTTCGGAATGTGGAAAAACTAGCCTTTTCACTACCGTCAAAGCTCTCACCAGCACTTCTGTTTTCAGTAAGGGGAGTTTCCCCTTTGAAGTTATTAACGTGGACACATCATCAAGGTCTTCTCCGCCTCCAAAGCCACTCTTAATCGCCACACCAACAAATAAAGGTTCTTACCCTGTTATCTTGTTCTTTCATGGCTTCTACCTTCGCAACTACTTCTACACAGAGCTACTTCAACATATATCCTCCCATGGATTTATCCTTGTTGCTCCTCAGGTACGCATATGGAATTTTTATATGTAACCAGCTTAATTAATTTCTTATTGTAATACTCCATAGCGCTATTCCATTAGAACTTCACGCCAAAATATGGTATAATTTATTTATTTAATTATTTTACTCTTTTTCCTTTTATTTCCACTTGTTTACTAATTTGCTATATCTTCAGACTTGAGTGTTGCAATTTTCTTAACCATATTCGCAATAGCTTTGTACATTAGGTCTTTTGGTAGAAATATTAATTGTTGTAAATTACTTTTTTCTTTTTCTGGAAATTGGATGTAAATCTGCTTGCGTGTATATATCTCTGTAAACATACGTCCTATATACACGTAAAACATGCATGCGTATCGATCCTAATTAATTTTATCCTGAGTACTCGACTCCCAAATAAATTATTTCCCTTTTAATTTCAATATTTTTTTCCCATGATATGTATTCCACCATTTATTATGAAGATTCTTGTTAATTTACTATTATTTTTTCGGTGTTGCATTTTCTAACGATGGTTAATTTGTATTATAAATTTAGCTGTATGATCTTATTCCTCCCTCGGGAACCGAAGAAATAGAGTCGGCAGCAAACGTCACAAACTGGCTAGAACAAGGCCTCCAACCTCTTCTCCCTGGAAATGTCTCACCGGACTTGACCAAGCTCACCCTATCCGGCCACAGCAGAGGCGGTAAGGCCGCCTTTGCCCTAGCTCTCGGATACGCCAAAACCTCCCTCAACTTTTCCGCACTGCTAGGCATAGATCCCGTGGCCGGTACTGGCAAATGCTGTCCTACCGAGCCACATATTCTTACCTACGTCCCTCACTCTTTCAATTTCTCCATCCCGGTGGCGGTGATCGGCACCGGCCTGGGCCCGGAAAAGTGGATCCCTTTGGCTCCACCGTGCGCTCCAGAAGGTGTGAACCACGATGAGTTCTACAACGAATGCAAGCCGCCTTGTGCCCATTTTGTGGCCAAGGAGTATGGCCACATGGACATGTTGGACGACAATCTGCCCGGAATTATCGGGAAGTTGTCGGAGTGTATATGTAAGAATGGAAGTGGTCCAAAGGACAAGATGAGGAGGTCCGTGGGAGGGATTGCGGTGGCGTTTTTGAGGGCTTATTTGGAAAGTGATGATGAGGATCTGAAAGCTGTTGTTGCCGATCCAAGTCTTGCTCCGGCGAAGCTTGACCCCGTGGAGTTTGTTCCAGCTTAGTCCTGGCAATAAATTATAATTAGCATGCATGGAATCGTGATTATTAAGGTTTTCTGGGTTTACATTAATGTTGAATAAGGAGCTCATGCATGCCAGTGAGCTTGGGGAAGAGTGCTAAATGTCTTAGCAAGAGACTTAAATAAGAACATGTGGTTGGAACTAATTCGATTGGTCAAGAAAAGAAAAAAACATGGAAATATTTAGTTAGGAAGGTCGTAAGTGTCCATCTTTATATTAATCGCTATCCATATATACACTATGGTAAGAGAATGAAAAATCATAATTGCATCTTAGCATGCATATTGTACGATAGCCCTACGAACAAATTTATAGCCTAGAGCGTACGTACACTTAATTCGTAACGACGCCTCTTATTCTTAGAGATATTGGGATCGTATTTTAAAATTAGTGTACCAAAAAAAAATTTAATGTACAGAAAAAAGAGAATGCTAGTTTGAATATATTAAAAAAAAGTTATCAGATGGACTCTGTTTTAAAATCATCATATTAAATATTTGTCAAAATTGTACAAGATTTAATTAATTTGTTCATTTTGCATACCTTTTATTTTTACATGATTTTTATTAGATTTATTAGTTTAAAACATGCGCTAGTAGAACTTTAGGGCCCTAAAAAGAAACATCAAATATGTATATAAGGGTCCGTTTAATTCGCTGATTCGAGTTTTTAATTCGAATTGAGATGTGACTTTATGTGAGAGTTTTTTACTTTAGTAAAAAAGTTAAATGTGACTGTTTTTGAAAGTTTTTTACTGTAACAAAACTCAAATTCTAAACTTAAATCGGTAAAATAAACGGAACCTTTACTTCCAATATCGTGAACCACGTGAAGAGTGCATGGGAAACTTGAAGTTCAAGTTTAATAGGGCCATCTTTGAATAACTTCCGTCTTTTTATAAATCATATCTACTTTTAACTGTGCAGGCTGGTACAAAAGAAAAAACTTTCCTTGTTTGAGTTTTTAAACAGTGTAACTCGCGAATTAGTAGGGCTTGTTCTTTTAGAGTAAAACTCAAAAAAAATTTAAACTCAATTTACAATTTTATTCAAGTTTATGTTTTTTTGTAAATTTTGAGTTTGAACTTGAGTTTGAACTTGAGTTTGGGGCTAAAATCTGAGTTCAAGTTTTCCCTTCAACTCAAGTTCTTAAACTGAAACTCAAGTTAATGAACAATATTTATTTTATTCTTAAAAACGTCATAACTTTTTTGTTTTAATTCTGATTGAGATGATTTTTTTTTTCTATTCGTTCACAACGAAGAGACGAATAAAACCCCACCCATATGCCCTATTAAAATTTTTTATCACCATTGAGTTTTTATTAAAATACTATCTAAATACAAATTCAAGTTTTGACCCGTTCAAATACAAACTCAAATAGATTCTCAATTCAAATCATAACTTAAATGCGCACATACAAACACAAAAATATACAAAAATGAAAGATGATTAAAACACGTAAGAACGACATGTATAACATAATTAAGCTATATATATAGTGTTAGACTTTAATTATAAATATGATTTTTACCATCATATTCATAAATCTCAAGAATCATCATGGCAAATTACTAAGAAAATATTTAGGAAGCGTATCTAAATCCAAGATAGCAATAATCATTACTTTTACGGAATTACTAAACGATTGACGAACTGGTTATTGTCTTTCTCAGTCAAATTACTAAAATCCTTAATGAGGCGCTTTCTCTTTAGATGGGAAAGAAAAAAAAACAGCCGAATAATTTGACGTATTGAGGACCATAACCTATAAATCCTTATATACTTATCTAATAGGCTTCCATTAAATCTGATTGGATAAACATTGAGTATCCACTCATTTATCTCATATCTTATTAGAAGTCTTATTGTACTTTTCTAAATAGACCACTTTATTAGCTCAATTAATTAATAGCTTAATATAATTATTATAATAATAAGTGGCCTACAATTTATATAGGAAACGTGATTTTCCTAACATATAGACCCCGTATTTGAATAAATTTCCTCATGAATATATCTCTTTAACTCTGCATATTGCACAGTACCAAAAAAACGAGGCTACGAGTACTCCAAGAACATACCTAATAAAAGTAAGCAAACTGCTATTACGCCTCCTGTAAATTTTAATTTGTATACGTCAAGTATTACTGAGATTCAAATGAAGTTAATTGGTTAAAACAAGGGAAAATTAGGTATGAAAGAGAAATATATGTAACGAAAAGTGACGCAATAAAAAGTGCCCAAATATTCTATTATGATTGGACGGATATACTACATAAGTAAAATTTTACATGCTATTTTAAAAACTTGTCTGGTAGAGTAAAGAAAAATATACCGAATATACGTCTTCACTATTAAATGTATTTTTAAACTAATGTTTGAAGGACATATGAAGATAAACATCATACGAGAAGAGAAAGGGAAGCATGTTTGAGCAATCCAGGTCTTGGGTGAGCTCTTAAATAATTTAAACATGTCCGATAGCATAGACCTACAGTCTGAAGCTAGGGTATGACCGAAGAGATTGATCGTGATCATTATGACAATTACTGAAGGTAATCGCCATGATCATATAACGCACGCTATCATTTGCTTTGCTAGCTAGTACGTGTTCTGCGTAAATATGTTAGTTACATCATAAGAAATACTGATTCTGTTTTATGTATATTGCAGAAAGAGAAGACAAGAAAGAGGAGAGCAAAGAGGATAAGAAAACAACAGGAAAGGAGTACAAGGGAACAGCCATACTAATTGCACGCGGCGAAAAATGGTATATCAGAAATTGTGGACAAAATTCGTGAGCTTTACACTGTGGCCATTCATGACGCGCGGACCAGAATATGAAGAACATATATATAATATATAACTATTGGCAGCAGAGCACAGGCAGTTAGAAGTGTATGAGTTGTTGCTCAGACATACAGAAATTCCGAGAGACTTTGTGTTTCGCAAAGTTGAAAATCACAGGAATAGTGCGTTGCATTTTGCGGCTATGATTAACGAATATGATCACAAGATGTGGCCTATTTGCTGGTGCCGCTTTACAAATGCAGTGGGAAATCGAACGGTATACAAGGTGAAAAAACTTTTTTTTTTTTATTACAAAAAAAGGCAATACTTGTATATGTATCACGATTGCTGGCAATTACTTCTCATCATAACAAAAAAAAAAAAAAAGATATCATACTATTCTTTAATCTATTACAAGTTCAATTCCACACATATATAACATGTTTTTTTTCCTTAAACATCATTGATGATACATAACATTGCTTTTATAACTATTAAACAACTTTTATTTTATCTTATTTTCGGAACTTTAAAGTGGCATGACACCTGAAAGTGGAGTCAAGTGTGAAAGTGTGGAACGGTGCATTAGACAATGTCTGTAATTAGAAAGCTTATTATATATATATATATATTAGCATATTTATTTATTTATTTGCAGTTTGTGGAGGATTCCATGCCTCCGCACTTGTTTTTTACGGGTCAACAAGGACGGCGAGACACCAGAGGAGATCTTCACCAAAACCCATACAAATCTCGTCAAAGCCGGCTGCGAGTGGCTGACCAGCACCTCGACGTCTTCTTAGGTGGTGGCGTGCCTCATTGCCACTGTCGCCTTCGCTAGCTCCACCACCTTTCCAGGCGGCACTGACAGCCGGAGCGGCAAACCAACCCTCGAAAACCAGACGTCGTTCCAGCTATTTGCGGTGTCATCGTTGATGGCTCTGTGCTTCTCCGTCACCTCCTTGATAATGTTCCATGCCACGACACCGGGAAAAGGATTTCGGCAAAGACCTGCCGAGAAAGCTTTTGCCGGATTATCGTCGCTTTTCTTCTCCATAGCCTCCATGGTTACCTCTTTTTCTGCCGGACAGTTTCTTGTGCTTGAAGATAAACTCAAATACCTAGCTTTTCCGGTATAAGCAGTGACCTTTCTGCCGGTATGCCCTTTTGCTGTAGCCCAGTTTCCATTGAATCTTGATCTTATTAGGGCTACCTTTCTCAGCCCGTTTTGATTGGTTGTTTCATTTATATGGGGCACAATGAGGATTTAATTATTTATAAATAATATTTGTAAATACTAATACTTGAATGTTATAATATAGAAAACTTCAATGCATGGGTTCTTATTTAAATTAGAAATTTTATACTGGGGCAAAAGGAGGGGTTAATTGAAAAGCTTTGCAAATTTATATCTAATAGTTAATTAAAAACTTAAAAAATTTCAATAGGAACACATGCGAATGATGCAGTTTAAAAGGTTGTTTGCTTTGGTCTTTGATTTTTGTTGGATTTTTTTTTACCCTAACCTTTATTGAACTTATTTGTTGCTTTTGCACATAAATTTAGCTGTCATTTATTTATTTATATTTTTAATATAAATTTAAGCATAGACTAAATTTACTTTTTGCAAAAAAAAAAAAAAAAAAAAAAAATGAAATCCTTGAATCTAAAAATGTCTACTGTTATACAATTTTACAAAAATATCTATTTTTATACAACGACTGAAATCCTTGAATTTAAAAATGTCTAATGTTATACAATATTATAAAAATATCTATTTGTTATAAATATAGGACTTGTTATACCTATTATACCCCTTTCGCATAATTTGAGCACTTTTCTTACATAATTAAGTGGATATTCTGATTTCATTTTATTTTCCAGTTTCTTTTTTTAGTTGACATTGCCTTTTTTGTTGGGAGGATAATTAATACGATATTTTTGTGATTAAATGACTTATTGAGTTGACTGATTTCATATTCCCTTCCATATTTATATATTGAATTTTGGTTTAAAACTCAATTATGCTCAACGTTTTCACTTTCATATTTCATTTCTTGCGTTGAGAAGAGGACATCTGTGTTTGGTTTCTTTGTCTGCTTTGGTATCTCCAATACAAAAGAGGTACGTTTTTGCTTATTTATTTTTCTATATAGTTTTTTATATCATTTTTAACTCATTTGTTAATGAAGCTGGAGATTTGGGTTTTTTTTTTTTAATAAATAGTGCGTTTTGTTTTCAAAATAGAACACTTTTTTTTTCATTTTTTTTTAATATATGGTGCTTTCATTATTTTTAATATATGGTGCTTTCATTATTTTTTAAAGAAACTTTCCCTTTATTTAAATAGGCAACTTTCATTAAATCTAATATTTAGATTTCATTTGACTTTTGTATTCAAGAACAAGTTATGATTTTATTTTTCTATTGATCTATTTTGATGTTTTATTATCTTTTTCCTTTTTTATTTTATAAGGATATAAACGTCTTTATATGTATGCTAATGGATAGTTTTGTATATAAACAAATAAGTAGACATTTTTAAATTCATGGTGCTCTTACTAAACGTTTATGTAAATAGCCAAAAAAAAAAAAACTAAAAGCAACTAAAATAAAGGTAAAAGAAAAAAGAAACCATAAAAACAACGAACTGGAATTACTGTAAAATAAGATACTAGTTTTTTCAAAAGGAAGAGACCTCATTAAAACCTTCCATGGTAACTAGTATGAACATTAAAGGAAAAACCCAAGAAAAGAAAAGATCTCAGTACGATTTAATGTCTAGTTAATTTGCTTACTTATTTATCCGTCACTCTTCAATTAATTAAAAGAAAAAAAAATGTATAGATTATCGGTCATGGATATATATATATATATATATTGACTATATATTGACTAACTTCCATTTCTTGATATATATATATATATATATATATATATTGTTCTGATGCGATGCTTGTATGCCAGGATATCGCCTCTGAGGTGTGCACCGTTGATTGGCCAAGGCCCATTTGGACATAGTAATTAACATTTTGTTAAACCTGATTCCCAGCTTTAGGGAAGGATGGTTTAAGTAGGGTGTTTGTTTTCTTACAATTAAAAAGGTTGTTCGATAGGCTCTTCATCAGTTCATCTGAAAAAGGATAAAAAGATAAAAAGAAAACGGTTCTTTAGTTCCTGTATTAGAAAGAAAAGAACATTCCTCTGTAACATCTGCACGCCACGCACCAAAGCATAATCGTGAAAAACGTTTTTCATGATTTTTGTTATCCCCTTTCTTTTCATTTAAATTATCATAAGTACAATTTTTTTTTTCCTTCTATTAATGAATCATGCCCGGTCTTCTTCTTCTTCCTTTTTTTTTCACACCTTTTTTCGCGTATATTATGTGTTAATAAACTAAAAATAACTAATTTATAAGTACAGCAAAGAAAGGATTAAAAATTTAACTAGGCTTAAAATCAATAAAATTTAACTTTCTTTCAACAAATTTTACGCATAATCATCACTAGCTATGCGGTAAACATTTAATATTTAGATTGATGGGATATATCCACCTTATACATCCACCCAAAGTGCTGTTCTGAAAGATATCACTGACAAGTGACAAGTATTAAACACTTGGACATTTTTATTATCGTAACTTTTCTTAAATAGAGAAATTAAAGGGATTTCAGTGGCGCTTTTTGAAAAACATTTTTCATAAATGGTTGAAGTTTTATAAAATTAAAAAAATGATCATTTTTATTAATTTATTGGTCAATCACTGATTGACTTTAATTTATTGCTGATTAACTCGATTATTCTTCATTATTTATCAATATCAATTAATAATTAACGAATAATATTTAATGAGAGTTCTGGTATAGGATGAGATTGGTGTGGGTGCCAACCTAGTTGGGATGTACAATCAATCTTTGATATCAACTTTCACAGTTTATTAGAAAAAATTAATAATTAACCAAAATTAATTAGTAATTAATCAATTCCAATCAACAAATTATAGGTTTATTAATGATAAACCATTGATAAATTATGGCTCAATCATTAATTAACTGTGGTCAATTATTGATTTACTCCTTAAATAATGCCATTTTTGTAAAATAAAAAAGTTATACCATTTTCGTAAAATAAAAAATTCGGCCATTTATAAAAATATGTGGTAAAAAAAGGTCATTTAGCTAATTTTTTGAAATTTAAATAAGGGATATGAATATCATACAAATATAAAGATGTTTCATCACTTTGATAATTAAAAGATGCATGTGTCAAAGTCACGAATAAACAAAATTTATTTTTTTGTATATTATGTGAATTTAGGTGAGAATTTTAAACTCTAAACCTTAATATTATTATTAAAGGCGTCTGGCCGGGAGCATAGATTTATCTCTAGGTTAAATTCTGCAACACAAATCCTTAAGTATATTTGCTTTGAAAAAATGTATACACGTATTAGGAGAAAAAGTAAGGCCATGCATTATAAGTTAAAAGTACTACTGTTGAAATTGATGATTATAAAACGGCAATTAGCTAATTTGGGGTGAATATTCGTTCTTCACGTACGCGTAAGAGATTCTTTGAGTACTTACCAAGTACTGCTTACCATTAATAATTCCTTTTCTATTTCTTTGTTTGTCTTCGATCAGGAAACACCTCACTAGCACAGGAACTATATATATATATTCCACTTCATGATTAACGAGTGGCGAGAAAAATATAGTTCAATTATATAGCAGCATTGGTATTTTACAATGGAGATCACTACAGCGAACATCGAGGACGTGAAGAAAGAATTGTTCGCAAACGTCATGAAAGGTGATTGGAAAAAAGTGGTAAGAAAGTACAAGGAAGATGTAAGGGCTCAGAAGCTGAAGATCAGCAGATCGGGCCACACAGCGTTGCACTTGGCAGTCTCCGACGCCGAAGAGGACGTCGTCGAAGAAATGGTGGAGGCCATTAAAATGAACCCACGTAATTCGAAGAAAGATGGCTTCGAAGCGTTGAGTATCGGAAACGAGAGGGGTCATACAGCTCTCCATTTCGCGGCGGGAATGGGGAACTTGAGAATGTGCAAGTGCATCGCGAGCGTCGACCCGTTGCTCATCGGCGTTCGCAATAACAAAGGCGAGACCCCTCTCTTTTGGGCGGTTCTTTACGGCGCCCCACCACAGGCTTTCTTCTGTCTCAACGAAATGTGCTCAAGTGAGGAAGGCTATTCTTATTGTAGGAGAAAGGATGGCCAGACCATTCTACATTGTGCAATATTTGGGGAGGATTTTGGTAGCCGCCATGATCTCATTTTTAATATTCTTCATAGAGATCATATACATCATTGATCTTATTTATTTTTATGTTTTTAAAAGTTATAAAGAAGTTTACAAAACTGATATATATACTTATTCTGGAAATTCTTCACTTTTTTCCTTATAGAAAAAGAGAAAAACAAGTGTCTAATATATATATCACACTTTGGCTTTGACAGAGTTGGCGCTTCAGATAATTTCCTTGTACAAGGGACAACTTGTCAATCTTGTTGACGAGGATGGAATTTCCCCTCTCTATACTTTAGCAAGCAAGCCTTCTTGCTTCAGAAGTGGTACCAATTATGGACGATGGGGCAATATCTTTTATAATTGTAAGTGTTTTGAAGTGTCACCGATGACTTCTTATATTTTTTTTGCTAATCAAAAAAGGAGATCTGGTGGTGCAATTCATATCCCCTAACCCCTTCAGCTATAGCAGTAATCCCGGAGACCACCGAGTATTATATATTAATTATGTTACCATATACATTGCAAAAGATATAGCAATAAATCCAAACATCCTGCTGTCAATGTTGAGGTCTATTCCAGTAAATTAAAAAAAAAAATCTCAAGTATTTCGTTGATCACGGGGAAAGAAAAAAAAAAACACACACACACACACACAGTTGGGTTGCATTTATTTTTCATGAAAGAGAAGAGAAAGCGCAAGCGAAAAATGAGTTGCTTCTTTTCCAATCTAATGATAAATCAACAATAGGAGTTTAGTTCGCTTGCGAATAAGGCAAGGAAATTCTAGTTTTTAAAGTGAATAAATGTCAAATTTACTTGTTAAGTCAAAATCAATAACTAATCGATATTATTTGCAAGGTATTTACGTAGACCACCCCAAGATGAAATCACTGGATGCAAAAGATACTGAAAACTACAGTTATCCTGAAAACTACAAAGTTTTCGTCAATTTAATCCTGGTGATGAAGAAAGTGTTTCAAATTGGTATGTGATTCAGCTAATTACATCTTTAACCTTTAATACTTTACCTCATGAACCAATATATAATTCGATATAATATAATGCTCTTGGGTTTGTGATTAATTCATAAGGTAAAAACCTTCATATTTTCAGTGACTACCATAGGACTCGGTAGGACTAGATCAAAAACTGATATAGAGAACCCAGCTGATCAAGAACATAAAGATCATACAGGTATTCGATATACTTTACGGTTACATATATATATATATATATATATAGTGCATGATTTTTTTTGTATTATAAATTTTAAGTAATAATTTCCCAACAAATACGCAAGTAACTGAATAAAGTCATATATCATTTCTCCTTTAACTATTACATGACCGGACTGTAACAGGAATATATATATATATATATATATATATATATATATTCCCCGGAAGAAAGAAAGATATCAAGCAGAAATAATTGGAATTAATTGCAAATTTTTGAAGGTCCCTCGAATTGATCATGCATGTCAAAAAGCATTTGTAAGTAAATTTCATCTGTGATAATAACTTGTTTGGTTCATAGATCTAAACAGAAATTTATATTTTTGAGAAAGAAAATATTATAACTAAGATATTTGAATTGTGGTTCAAACAAGGCTTCGTATTTATTAGTTATATATATACTCTATAAAAACATTCCTAATGATTACCTTGACTCTATAATATTAGTCAAAGCAAAGTTTAATCCACATGATATTTTCTACAGGAAACCAATCATTCCGTAGGGCTCAAGGGCCTCCTGACTTCATTCCGGCAAACAATGCCACCTGCTTTGAGCTTGGCAGGTCTCTATACAAGGGTTTCCTGGTCATTTTCGGATATGGTGTAGATCCTAACTCATCGTCTTAAACATGTGATGTGTATATTATATATTTGTATGTGTGCATGTGTGTATATATATGTATGCAACAATAAGAGACGTAAGGTGAAAATTTTACACTAAACCTATTAAAATCTAATAACTATGCACATAATAATATTTATGTATTATAAAATGATCAATTTATAGATTATTTAAGCAAGGGTAATCTTACATAGAAATCCAATTCTTCAAGTTTATATTTATCATAAATCATTTATAGGTTTTTTTTTCCTGCTAAAAAAATCCATTACGCTTGTTTTTTTATGGAATTGGCTTGATTTCAAAGCCTGTAAAAAAGTGCTCCATTATATATATATATATATATATATATATATATATATTATGGGCATAATTATATAATTGAGTAAATATGGGATACGCATGTATTGGAGGCCCTTATAAATAATATTTATGATGTGGAGAAAATGGGTCCTTGATGACTCAAGGGGACTTGCACAACTAGCCAAGTCACGTAGTCCTTGAGTCGGCACTATACATATATGTGTATGCATGTCTTACAAACACACACATATATATAGATTTGTTTCTACATCATAACAAAATTATTTTATTTGGGTTTTCCCCCTTCAATTAAGGACATTCATGGACAAATGCGATGCGAGAAGAGAAAAAGAAGCATTTATGGGCAGTTCAGGTCGTGGATAAACTCGTAGAACATTCCACTACGTATGATAATGAAGACGCTGGGGCTTTTCCGTCTGATCGTGCACAGAATGATCACCGTGAAATAACTTCCTCTCTTATTGAAGGTAAAATTAATATTGTTTACAAACATATATATATATATATATATGTATAGACACGTTTTACATGATTTTACATTTTATGATTCGAACAATAAAGTAATCTTACGAAGAGCCATTTTCCGTCTTATTGTGTTATTATAAGCTTACCATAGTGTATGTTCGGATCCAATTGGCTTAAGATGCCCTATCTGAAAAAAAAAAAGAAAATATTAAAAAAATTAAGGTTCTGTCACAAATATAGCTTAAATGTTTGTTGTGTGTGATCATTCTAGGGGAGAAAGAGGAGAAAAGTCCTGCATTGGGAATAGAGGAAACTGCCATATTAGTCGCGGCAAAACATGGAGTGTCCGAGATCGTGGATCGAATTCTTCAAAATTTTCCGGTGGCCATTCACGACGCAAACAAAGATAGGAAGAATATACTACTACTAGCTGCTGAGAATCGGCACTTGGAAGTGTTTAAACTCTTGCCAAAGAGAAATGTTCCGAGGGCTCTCGTGATGCGAAAAGTGGATGAGCAAGGCAACACTGCTTTGCATTTTGCCGCAATGCACAAGGCCACCAACAAGCTTTGGCCTATTCCCGGCGCAGCCCTACAAATGCAGTGGGAAATCAAATGGTACAAGGTAATTTTAATAAAGGGTGATAACAAAAACATGTTCTGTGTTTTATCCAAATATTTCGTTTTACCTTTGTGTTTTTAAAAATGTTGCTCGGTCCATGTATTTTTTTGTCAATGCTAGGTTAGTAGTTATATGTACTTGTAATATAAAAGAAATAAATTAAAACTGTTATTAATGAGCTATTATTTTTAGGTTTAATTCCACAAATGATTCTAAAGATTTATCCTCAATCCCACTTTAATTTCTGATTTTTAAAACAACCCGTATTTGGTCCCTAAAACATCCTACATTTGGTCCTTAACACTGTTCAATGTCAATCCTTTTATTATAGGGACCAAAATTGAAAAAAAAATATAAATTTAAAAACTATATATGAAAATAAACTTGTATTTTTTTTTTTTACATTATTTTAGTCCTTAAACTTTAAATATTTCTAATTTTGTTCCCCAATTTTTTATAGATTCCTTAAAATATTTAACACTTAGATAATAAAAATTGAAATTAAAATAAAGTAAAACCTCAAAAACCAACTATGAGATATTTTAAAAGTTATGGACCAAAATGGGATTCATTGAGGAAATCTCATAGACCATTTGTGAGATTAATTCTTATTTTTAATATCATGTAAAAATATTAACCCATTATTGTTGCAATATTAATTGCAGTTTGTGGAGAAATCCATGCCACCAAGGTTTTTTTTACGGCCTAACATTAAAGGCCAAACGCCAGAGGAGATTTTCTCCCAAACTCACAAGGACCTCGTCAAAGATGGCAGCAAATGGTTAACAAACACCTCAACCGCCTGCTCTCTCGTGGCCGCACTAATCGCCACGGTCGCTTTCGCAAGCTGCACCACGTTTCCAGGCGGCACCGACGATAGAAGTGGCAAACCGAAGCTTCAAAACCAGCCGACATTCGATCTTTTCATGACCTTTTCACTGGTTGCCCTTTGCTCTTCAGTTACTTCATTGATCATGTTCCTCTCCATCCTCACGTCGCGACATCAAGAAAAAGATTTCAGCACAGAGCTGCCAAGAAAGCTTCTACTGGGATTAACGTCGCTCTTCGTTTCCATTCTCGCCATGCTTATTTCTTTTTGCTCCGGTCACTTCTTCGTGCTAGAAGATAAGCTCAAAAACGCTGCGTTTTTAGTGTATGCCGTGACGTTTTTACCGATATTCTTTTTTGCTGCTGCCCAACTTCCATTGTACATTGATCTTGTACAAGCTACACTTTGGAGTCCGTTTTGACAGTTTCAAATCGGAAGTACTTTTTTACACGATTCGCTGTTTGTATTAATTATGTGGCAAAATATGTGTGATCTTTGTTTCAGATGTATATCATGTTGGCGTTGATGCCAATAGTCGCTCTTTGTAGCTGAATTAACTATATATGGAATAAACTCCAAGCCTTTTGCAAAAGTACTACCACAGTTGGCTCAAAATATGATGTTATACATCCTAAAGAAAAATGCTTAAGGGCAATAATAGAATGAAGGTAGGTGAGTCCCACTTGTGAGACCCACCTTCTATTAATGTTTGTTGCTAAGTTCTTTAATAATATGAGCCTCAATTTTAATTGAGTTGATGTTCATTCAACAACAAAAAAAAAAAAAAAAAAAGTGGGTGGCCTAGCATTACTCCATCCTAAATAACATATAGGAAAATAAACTGACAATTTTCAATTGTTGAAATATACAACTATTCGTCACATTCATGTCAACTATAGAATTAAGAGACTATTTCATTAGGACGAACACAGTACACATTTACAATTTTTTAGCATTTTTCTATCTGTTTAAATCCACCGGAACCAACTTTTAGTTTGAATGTGTTATATCTAAAAAAAAATAAAAAAATAAAAAATAAAAATAAAAATAAAAATAAAAATAAAAACTCTTTTTGTTCCGGTGTGAAAATGGACTTTTTCAGACAAAAATAACTTGAAATACAAGTCTCATAACCCCACAATAACGAAAGCTCTCGCCTTTAATCTGCCAGACTGCCACCAAAGGAATGGCTTGTGCTTCAGCTTTTATCTCCTTAGTTCTCTTTCTTTAACTAAATCTCTGTCAAAATCTCTAACCGATTCTAAATTCCCTTGCTTTTATTCTCTTTTGTTTATAAAAGTATTATCCCAAGTGACTTAGTGTACTTAAAGATACGCTCTTAAGCTGTAACACCCCGTCCTCAGATCACAATGCGATCTTGGTAACAGTTTAAAAGATAATATACAAGAGATCGCAGAAGAATAAGTTTCTTGAGATCATCATGGATTCGGCGTCGAGTTTGGAAATGGAGAGAATTAAGAAAGAGATATTCAGCATCGCCATGAGAGTTAAGCGCAACTTTCTCCAGGCAAAAAAAAAAACTGCTATATTTTTTTCCTGAGTTAATTGTACGCCTACCATACCTTACTCTGGCGAGCTCAGGGAGGATTTAGGTGAATGTCGAATCAAGACTTGTTATCCTATTTTTCTATTTCAATGGCTGTCATTTTAATTAAATTTTGACACATCGTGAATTGTTCAAGTATTATTAGTATTTTATTCTTATTGATATAGTCAAATTCTTAAATTTAGGTGACATGATAAATAATTAGTGAAATGAGAGAGAGAGAGAGAGAGAGAGAGAGAGAGAGAGAGAGAGAGAGAGAGAGAGAGAGAGAGAGAGAGAGAGAGAGAGAGAGAGTTGTACATGTGGGGCAACTGGCAAGTGTGCACTTGATATAAATTATTTAAATAATTAGGAAAGTAGAGAGAGGAGGAAGAGGAAGGGAGGGAGAGAGAGAGAGAGAGAGAGAGAGAGAGTAACATACTCTATGAAGATTGTATACGCCTTCTACAAGGGAAAGTATTGTCTCATATAATTTGTCGTACGTAAATGTCCATCTTATTAATTAGGGGTGTGCAAACTAACCAAACCATTTTTTTTTGGTGAAATACAAACTAAACTAATTATAAATTGGTTTAGAGATTTTTAAACTAAGCTAAACCAATTAGGGGATCTAAACCAATGCAAACCAAACTGATTATAATTGGTTTCATTTAGTTTTTTTAATTGGTTTGAACTAATATTTTACTATCTATTCTCAAGTTTCAACCATAATTGATACTAATATTTTGTATGATAGAAATTATATTATTTCTTAACTGAAAACATCAATACCCAATAATGAAATATTCAATTCAAACAAAAATAAAACGTCCAAATTTAAAAAATTAAACATCCTTAATAAAATTAAAACTTTCAAATCCATAAACATAAAATACTAAATTTGCAAGTTTGTCTTTAATTTTAAAACTCTTTAGACTCCTAAAAAATGTTTTCTCTGATATACTTGCAAACTTTCTTCCATAGTTCATAAAAATATGAAAATAAATAAGTTAAGATATATAAAATATATATAATTTTAGCTAAACATAGATATAATTTTAGTTCATAAAAATTTAATTGGTTTTTTTAAAAAAAATAAACTAAACCAAACTGATTATTAATTGATTTGGTTTTCTTTTCTTTTGGTTTTGTTTTGTTTTGTTTTAATTTGGTTTGGTTTTCTTTTGATTTGAATAGTTTGAATGGCTTGTTTCGCACCCCTAATATTAATCGTTATCCATACCCTATGTAAGAGAATTCCACACTAGCCAAATGGTCAGGAAAATCACAATTGCATCTTAGTATGCATATTGTAAGGTAGCTAGCGTAACGAAGAATTTATAACTTAGAGATATTGTGGATCGTGCTTTAAAATTTGTGTTAAAAAAAAGAAGAATGTTAGGGCATAATATGAAAGAAATATTTCATTATTAGTGTTACGTTTTAAACCATCTATTTTGTTTTAATTTTAATATAATGTTAATAAGATAACATTTAGATACATGCATTATCAGTAGGAGCTCTAAAAACTCTAAAAAAAAAGAGTGTATATATATATATATATAAGTTTGATTCAAATATCATTTGAGTGACAAGTAGATCGATAACTTAAAGTTTAAGTTTAATAGCTAGGGCCCATCTTTGAATTATTTTCGCCTTTCATAAATCATATCTACTTTAACTGTGCATGTTGATTGCTGATTACGAAAGAAAAAACTCGGTTTATTAAAATTTGTACCATTTACAGATTAATATAGACCCTTAACAATATCATTGTGATTTGTAACGAAGAGGCTGCCAACATACTCTAAGAACATATATACCTAATAAAAATAAGCAAAATACTACTATTACGCCTAGATTTGATTTGTTCCCCTAAAGTACTACAAGAAATTTTATATAATAAAAAAAGCGCGTTTTTTAATTAGCCAAACAATAAAATTTTTAGTAAAAGAGGAAAAGAAAATTCGAACAAGCAAACTCTTCTTCTTTTGCTTTGGACAAACAAACCCACTTATCTTGCTTTACTTTATTGTCCTTAAATCCTTCAAACAAATGAATCAAAGTTTGTTCCATCCTTCACTACTCAGCTTAACTTTTAATCCTTTTGCTTAGAAATTCCTTGCAAAGATCATTCCTTTTTTTTTAGATAAATTTATTTTTTTAGCCAAAAAAAAAAAAAAAGATCACTCGTTGTAGCTAAAACCACTATATTATATATATGACACTCAAAGTCACACACTCGCTCAAAGAGAGCGAAAAACATAGTAAGACGTATAGAAATTAAATAAACAGAAACTAAAATGGCTTCGACATCGTCTAGGCCGATCGATGTGAAGAGAAAATTGTTCGACAATGTCATGGGAGGAAAGTGGACAGAAGTCGTCGAAATGTACAAAGAATATTCTGCGGCTCACGAGGCCAAGATCACGAGGTCCGGCTACACAGCATTGCACCTAGCAGTCTCTAACGGCAAAGAAGAAATTGTGGAAGAGCTTGTCAAATTGATACGCTCCGACCAAAGTGGCCAGCCTAAAAAAGCGCTCGAAATACAAAACGAGAGAGGGTACACCGCTCTCCACTTCGCGGTGGCCATGGGAAACGTGAGGATGTGTAATTGCATCGCCGAAGTTGATCCGTCGCTTGTGGGGGTTCGTAACAAAGAAGGCGAGACCGCTCTCTTCTGGGCGGTTCTCTACGGTCAAGAACACGCCTTCCTTTGCCTACAGGAAATTATCTCTGATACAAGTTCCAAAATTTCCCTAGCAGAGGCCTATTCTTATTGTAGAAGGAAAGATCATGGCGAGACTATTCTGCACTGTGCACTCTACGGGGAGGATTTTGGTGAGCATCTAACAATATGTATAGTTATATATATATATATATAATGTTTTATGTTTATGTTCACTAATTAAGAACTTATGTATGTGGTTATACATATGGTCAACAGATTTAGCATTTCATATAATCAACTTGTATAATGGACTCGTTCATTATGTTGACGAGGAAGGATTTTCCCCTCTTGATACTTTAGCGACCAATCCTTCTTGTTTCAAAAGTGGTAGCAATCTTAGAGGATGGGACAAAATCATTTACAAATGTAAGTACATAATTAACTTAAACATTATATGCATGTGTTACAAATGTGTTAAGTATGAAATGTACGTTTATACTCAACTTGATTTTACTTGTCTTCTTCTCACAGAGTAAGACTTGGAATACCCAATACGCATATATGTGTATATATATATATATATGTGTGTGTGTGTGTGTGTGTGTGTGTGTGTGTGTGTATAATAGTGTAGTGATATTTTTGTTTTTAATTGATGATACACACTACAATTATGATTTACGCAATATAAGTTCATTTGAAAGGTATATATGTAAGTGAGCTCAAACCAATAACCAAAGGGAGCACAGACATTGCTCGTTCCCGTCATCCAGAAAACTATCAGACTTTGGTCAATTGCATTGGCACTTTCGTCCACTTTATTTGGAGAATGCTGAAGGATGCCTTTGGAATGGGTAATCAGTTCACGCTCACCATAGCGTTTCTTTATATCTTTAATTTCAAATACTTGTAGAATGTCGACAAAAAGCAAAGGCAGATAAAAGGTTTTTAAAAAATCGCTATTATTTTGGCACATATAATTTGTAATTATTTAGTATCCTTTAATCAATTACAACTCTGTATGTCTTTTTTTTGTTGATAATTTACAACTCTACATGTAACATGTTAATGTTGAGATCTATTCACAAACTATGGCACATAAACTAGCACAATACATCAATTTTGAGTAATAATCATAAATAGGGTTTTTCATAATTATTTATTAGCGTCAATGTCAAGGTTGTTCCAGACTCAAACCCATGCG